GTGGAAAGTAGCTCAGTTTGGTAGGTTCACTACCTGAGAAGACTGGCTGCTGGCCTCAGTGAGCCTAGCAGGAAAAGGTTGACAGGTGTATCACCATGAGGAAGATATCTCAGAAGAGATTAAGAGTTTGAGTCAAGTTTCGCACATCAGGACAACTCACGTAGGAGCCTCCCCAAGAAAGCCACCGTTCAGGTACTTCCTACACATGAGGGCTTGCAAAGCCAGGCTGAGCAGCAGCTACCCTGGAGAGGCAACGGCAGTCACGTTCCCGGGACAGTTGAAGATGACTGTCCCCTGCTCCCTTATTCTCCTGTATGAAGACTTAAGTTTGGGAAAAGGAGAGGGGTTTTACGATTGAGAAGTGTCGAGAACTTGGAGTTGGGAACATGGACTTGGAAGAGTGGGAGGAGATGAGTCAAAAGGGATGAAGAAATCAAAGCACCGGCCTCCCCTGCTCTATTCCAGGTCCCGAGAGCCATGAGCCTGCCCAGGAGTGGGAACGGGGAAGCTTCGAATCAGGTGGGATCAGAGTTTTAAAATGGACATTCAGTGATTTTTATTTTTTTTAAATGAATGAAAATGGCCAGGAGTTAAGAGATCTGGAATCTAGTCTGGAAAAGAGAGTCAACATTACAGAGTTGGACGCAGTGCTTGTGGGAAATCAAAACCTTTTTGTACTTGTACCCTATCAGGAGTCCTATTAGGACTCTGGTAGCATAGTGCCTAAGGCACTTGACTGCTAAGCAGAAGGCTGGCGGTTCAAACCCACCAGCCACTCCTCAGAAGGAAGGTTGGGCAATCTACTTCCCTAGTGATACTGCCTCGGAAACCCAAGGAGGGGTTGCTATGAGTCGGGCTGACTTGATGACACATAACAACAACATTTGATGGGTAAGAAAAGCTAGAGCAAAGAACAGGAAGTGGCTTGTTGATACGTTTAAGGGTTTGATATATGCACAAACACACATTTATCTGTCCTCAAATGCCATGTTCTTCCCACCAAGCCACGGAGCCCTTCCAGGCAGGGATTGAAACAACAGTCCCTTCAGCAGGTAGGACTGGAATTCATCTTCCTACCTGTGGTGGTTACTGTTTGTGTGTCAGCTTGCGGGCCTGGTTGAGTGGCTGGGCAGCTGGTGGTAGATATTCCCTGTGATGAGACTGGCAATCACCATGGTGGGATCTACCATAAGCAGCTGAGTAGCTGCCTTTGGGATGTGGTCTGCTTCCTGTATTTAAGGAGAAGCCTTGGGAATGGTCTGTAGCCTGTGGCACACTTGGACCCTGCCGTTGCTACAGCAGCCTGCCATGCTTTGCCGACCTTGGGACTTACAATGGACTTAAGTTAATGGCCTGCCGTGTGGTTTGGTAACATCAGGACTGTGCCTTTTTACTTGTCAACCTTGGGGCTT